CGCTTGCAGGCAACAATGTGGCGCAAAGGAATCGTGAGGTCCAGGAAAGAGTGAAGGTGGCCGTAGGCCTGGAAAAAAAGAAGATATGCATTGAAGTGTATCGGAACAAAATCTCACAGGAGGAAATAACCTGCAAATGTTCCAATGCAGGAGCGAGCCAGAAAAGCCTGAGAAACCCAGTTTCGAGACCTGCCATCGCTGACTGAAGATGGGTGCCATGCCCAGGCACACAGGCTGGCTCCTCCTGGGCTCAGGAGCGGGTGGGGATCCCAGACTTCCCACACTCTGTCTTCCACTCACTAACTCAAGTGCAAGTGCCCAGCCTTGATTTTTGTACTCAATATTAGTGATTCACACCTATGCCCTTCTCTTGTAGGGAGAACAGAGCAAAAAGTGTGTCTGACTGATGGCAAAGCCAAGGAATCAGGGGAGAGCCTCACCTGGAGTGAGGCCCTCAGCCTGGGGCATCACCAACCTGGGGGGGGTGCGGGGGAGGAGTCTCGCATGGGAGTGAGGAGCCTGAGTTCAGGGCAGTCTGTGACATCACCAGCTCAGGACACAGGAGTCACTTGGTCTCTTGGAACATAGTTCAGTCCTCTTTACGAGGCCATTGGACTAGATGGTCTCTACAACCCCGTCCCGGTGCCAGATTCCGTGGTCGGTGAACAGCATGCAGTGACTCTGTTAAGTGCCGTGCTCTGTGTCACAGGAGCTGCGATGGCAGAGGTGGACAGGGAGTGACCTCTGAACCCCTCAGCATGCTGCCTCACGGCTGTGACTGCACTAACACTCAGGAAATTCTGAACCAGGAGCCCCGCATGTGCATTCTACACAGGCCCTGTTCCTGTGAGCCAGCTGGGACTAACTGTAACAGCCATTTTCCCACGAGCAGCTAGAGCCTGGCAGGAAGCCAGCCCTGGCACCTGCAGACAGGCAAGGTGGGTGAGATGCTGTCTGAGGAGGCACTTCCAAGGGGTATGAAATGCTCTTGACCCTCTGCTGCCACTTGCTGTTTCTCAACCCTAGGATGAGACTGCCACCTGCTGGTCATGGGCATGAGCTCTTTGAAGGCCTCCGGGGCAGGTGCCTTTCAGTAGGAGGTGTCCAGAAAGGCTGGGCATGCTGCATTCGGCAGTTTCAATACTTGGCAATGGCTTCCTCATGCCAACTTCCAAACTAAACAGAAGCAACGCAAACACTCCTTCTTTGTCCTCCCGAATAACCCCCAAAGTGGCTTTCATTGGGTGTCAGGCATCAAGTATTCAATAATAAATGCCACTGGTAAGATAGTTATTAAGACTGTCATCGACAGATTCACTAGGTCCCCGTGTGCTGACGTGCAGGGTGACACTCATTCAGTGTGTACTGATATGTAGGGTGACCCTCAGCGTGTACTGACATGCAAGGTGATGTATACTTATGACCACCAGGTTCAACCACCACCTTCAGGCTACTAGTTGGAAGAGACGTCACAATCAGCAGGCAGAGTCAGCAGGAAGTGGCAGAAGTTGCAAAATGTAGGGCCATGGAGCAAATTATCAGAAGAATGTTCTGAGGGCTTCTCTGGTCTCCCCTGACTCCCACTGAGAACTCCCGTGAAAGTCCTGCCTTCGGTGGCAGTTAGATCACCAGGAATAGAAGAGGGAAGGCAAGTCCTGCCCAGTAGTGAGTGGGCAGGACTCCTGTGTGGGGAGAAGGGGTGGAGCCTGGGGAGGGAGGAAGCTCTCCTGGACCTCTGCCCAGTCCCAAGGTCACGTCCCAGAGGGCAGTGGTGTAAGGCATTCTTTTCAGACAGTTCTGCTCCACTGCCCACACTCACCACAGGAAGCCCCTGGAGCCAGAGAACTGTGCTCCCCCTCATTCACAAAGAAACACACCCAAAGTGCTTCAGGTCAAGGAGTATGTGCTTACTGCCATTTCTTGGTTTTCCTTTAGATAATTTTTTTACCTTGTCTTCTAACTCGCCGATTCAGTCCTCAGTTTCTTCTAATCTACTGTGGAAACCTTCTATTGTGTTATCACAGCTATGTCACTCTTCATTTGCTCTTGATTCTTACTCATGTTGGTGAAATTCTCATTTGGCTCCTTATAATTCTCATTGAGCTGCATGTATTTTTCATTCAGATATTTGAGCATCCTTATAACCATTACTCTGACAAATTACTGGCCTCCATTTCATTTAGTTACTTTTCTGGCAATTCCTCCTTTTCTTTCCTTTGGGGATTGTTTCTTTGTTCCCCCATTTTTGCTGTCCTGTTGTAATCATTTCTATGTATTTTTTTAAAAAAAAGAAGATATCAAGATAATAAGGATATCAAAGGACAAATATGACCCAGAATTTCTTTGTTTCAACATGTCCTTGGACAGAAAAACTGGAATGAGGATGGCCCTTACTTCACACGGAGGCCCCTGAGTGTGCCTCCTGTGTGCCCACAGCACAGAGGGCTCATCAGTATCACACCAGCACTCTGGACCCAGTGGGTTCACTTGCCGCCTGCAGGCCATGAGGTCTCCAAGACCAGGATGGTCTCAGTTCTGTGCACCCATGTCCCTCTCACACACAGCAAACATTAATCATTGTAGCTGGATGATACCTGGGCCTGCGGGCAGCCAGCCAGCCTTCCCACTTGTGTTCTGGGGCTTACACACAGATAACCCTGTGCTGGTCAGCTCGCCCCGCTGCAGCTAATCTGAACTCAGCGATGGATGAGACAGACCTGTGTTGTCCCCATACAGCTTCGAATCTAGCCTAGGACAGAATCTGGAGGTAGAAACAAGCAGAAACCACTGTGATAGGTGTTACGAGGAAGTGGCCGAAGCTCTCATAGACTCATGCAGCATCTAAACTCATGTTTCCATGGGCCTCCTTCCCCACATGCCGGTTATGTGGCCTCCCTGAGTTAATAGACTCATGCAGCGGCTAAACTCATGCTTCCATGGGCCTCCTTCCCCACATGCCAGTTATGTGGCCTGTCGCACACTTAATAAGGGTGTTTTCTTTCCATCCTTATTTTAATTTGTAACAGGACATGAAAAGGCTGGTTCCCAGGGCATAAAATATCTTCAAAATTCAAATTGGCTCCAAAATACAAAGAGAGCATTGTAAACTATAAATAAGTGTTTTATCCACAGAACACAGCACTAGCTGAGATGAAGTTCAGTGCACCTCGCCCCACCTTTGTGATGTCTGTAATGAGCAGACGCTGTTGAAATGCCTCTTAAAAATCAATGCGTGTTAATGCTCACGGATCCACACGAGAACCAGCACTGCAACCCTCACTTAGCAGATGGGGAAACTAAAGAAGAGGGGTTATGGAACTTGGACAACATGACAGTCAAGAAGTGGCTGATCTAGGACTTGAACCGAAGTAGTCTGGCTCACTGTCCCCACAGCCCTGTGCCATCTGACATCCATTATCTATGGGTGCTGATCCAGGCTCAGTGCCCCCACAGCCCTGTGCCATCTGACACCCATTATCTATGGGTGCTGATCCAGGCTCAGGCTGCCGGGTGTAGGGAGAGCAGAGGACGTGATGTATAAGCACAGCCTCTTGCTTGCTGGGAGCTGGGATTTGTGCAGGACTCTTTAGTGAGGTGGCAACATTGAGACTTTATAAAGTTTACTTTTCCCACTTTCTAAAGTTCATGCACGACCTGTCCAGTCATTAAGGCTGCCGAGCGATGGAGCATGGATTCTGGGGCTGCTGGGTAAAGCTCCATGTCTGTTAGTCTGGTGGTTACAGTGCCATTCAAGTTCCTGCTTTCTTACCGACCTTCTGTCTGGATGTTGCACCCATTACTGAAAGCGGGTGTTGAACTTTCAACTGTTACTGCAGAACTGTCTATTCTCCTTCGATTCTGTCCACATCTTCTTCACATCACTGACTCAGTGTTGGCTCAGATCTGCAAGCCCCTGACTGTGCCGAGTCCTGACAACTGCTCGGGACAGTCCTGCTCATTCCCCAGGTCTCCGTGGAGGGATGAGGCGTGGAGCTGCCTTCACTGTTCCAAACCTGGGCCTCCCGAGGACCTTCTGACACCGAGGTCACCGGACTGGAAGGGAAAGTAAGTCTGTTTCCTCCTGGGGACATTTATAGGTGTGGGTGTCAAAGCTTCCTCGGGGGTCAGAGCTCCATGAAGGGCCGGTTGATGAGGAGTCACCCTCACAGCAATCCCACAGCATCTTATTAACTTTGGTCTTGCAGCTGCACTTGGCCAGAAAGCCTTACTTACAAGGAAGTGGCTATTGAGAAAGCGGAGTAGCCATTAAGTCTCACTGCCCAGCTGTTACTTGATTTATGCTCCACATTACCTCCGATGCAGCGTGCACTTTGAACCTCGCAGCAAAAAAGCCTTCCTTCAGATCCTATGCCTTCTAATTCTTTAAGCAAATGTCCCACAAGTTGTAGTTTAAGAAAGAGCAGGCGTGCTTATCCTGTTTCAATTCAGTGAGATTTCAGGAGAGGAACTAAGGGATTTATAGGAACAAAAACTGCTTTGCATTCAGTGAACTTAGGTGAGGTGATCTCCTGAACTTTCAACTTACATATCACAGCGCGAGATTGGCTCTAAGATAAGAAACAGAATAAATTCTCTCCTCAGGGCGGCACTGAGGCTCTGACAGGAACAGAGATCATGGCGACTAAAAGGGAACAGATGATCCAGTGGAAAGTGCACTGTGACATGTCCATGGAGAAGATGGGTAAAGGTCTCACTCTTTCGTGGTTCCTTCTTTTGCTTCCGTCTTCCTCACCCCCTGACCCCGGGGGCTCCGACCACGAGCTAGTGCAGAGCAGGGCACATCCAGCTCCCAGCTTCTGCTGGAGACACACTGTCACTAGTGGAAGGAAAGGCCTTGAGTGCTGTCCCCTGAGATGCAGAAAGATCCAGATGTTTCCTCACATTCGAGCTGACTGAGCCCTATGGGTGCACCTGCACAGCTTCTTTCTATAAAGGGAGGAAGGGCAGTGTGCATGACTGCTCCCAGGCCTGAGGCATTGAGTCCCAGGGCTGGAAATGCCAAGGCATGGAAGAGTGAGGGAGGGTTCTAGCAGGAGTCGCAGGCCGAGGCAATGACCTTGGAGTAACCTCCCAACTACCTGGGGTTCCTCAAGGAGGCCTTAGTTTAACTGCTTTAATATCTGTTCCAACATGCGGGCAGCCCACAAGCTGCCCAAGAAGGGCAGACACACGTGTGTCATTACCCACAAGTAAAAGCTGCCTCCACTGTGACCTGCAGCTCAGGGGCCAGAAGCTC